GTTCATCAAAAATACAGTAAAATATATACAATCAAGGCCCTAGGCTCTGATACCACTGTTAGTAAATCGATGAACAGAGGCAGTGAAAAAATAAAAAATTTGCCCATCGATTACTCTGATTTTGCCAAATCAGAGTAATCGATGGGCAAAATTTATCCAAGATCAGGATATATATATATATATATATATATATATATATATATATATATATATATATATCATATATATATTAGATATATAATAATATATATTTTACATGCTTAAATTGAAACAATAAAGATCCATGCAAGGATTAGATCATACCAGCGATTGGAGGTTCCATCAGTGTCTTTGAATGAGATTCGCTACTGATTCGAGAATGGAATCGAACTCACGTCGTCCATACGAAGACAGTACGTTAGAGACCAAGAATTAATTTTGCTAGAATTAATTCTTGGCTTTAAGGATGGTATTTGGATGATAAAGTGAAGAGAAGAAGAAAGAAAAAATTTCTCTCAAATATTCACCCACGGCAAGAATGAGAGAAATCCATCAAAACCTATTTTTGCTTTCTTTATATAATAAAGCAAAATTTCCCTTCCACCCCCAGAGTTTAACAAAAACCCAAACTTATGTGGAATCACATACTGTTCCCTATTTAATTATTTAGTTAAATATTAATATTAACTTTAATAATTAAATTTGTAATTTTGCTAAATTACTCCAACAATAAAATTGGACAAGGCTACAACCTCAGTAAATTTAATTACACAGCAAAATTACCAATATTCCCTTTCGTCTAAAAGGATGAATATACCCTTCCAAAATTTACCATCCTTAAACTGACTTCTAAGTATGTGACCCGTAGGCTCCTTATCATATCGGCAGTGAGTAGTATCGTGATTGACACCAATCAATCGTCTCAAGACCAAGATTGGCCCCTAGCAAGACATCATGGCCACCCGATAGATTCAGATTCAATGAAACAGCTACCTATCAACAATATGGTTCTCGTGCAATCAAATCATTTCATCATCTGTTATCTCATCGAGACTGAGGTATAGAAATAGTGTCAACCTCAGTTATCCTTGATAACATTATATTCAATAAATTAGATTGGGTAACAACTCAATCCCACTGTGGCCACAGCTTTAGTGTCATTGTCATATACTGAATCGCGCTATAAGATAACTTCTCCTATACCCGGGAGTGATGAATCCTTTGTCGATCCACCATAGTCTTGATACCCTCCTCGATGTAGCCAATCATTACCGTATTGATAGCTCTAAATAGAATTGTTAGAAATCGATCTACCCAATGCAGCGGAAAAACAAAAATAAAAAGGATGAATTGATTCTTTTTATGCCAAGATCCAGGTATAGATTATATAGTTTACATGTTAAACCAAAATTTTACACAAAATAATATCAATCCAAACATGGATCAGAGATCTTATGCATGTTTGAAGGCTTCTTCAAATGTCTCTGAATTTACTTCGCTACCGATTCAGTGTAGAACCGAACGAATGGTGATCCACACGTAGACAATCCGAAGAACCAAAGAGGGATTTGCTAGATCTACTAATTAGCTTCAAGAATCAAATTGAATCAAAGAAAAATCTTTGATTCAAAACCAAAGGGAGAACGTGAGAGAGAAGGGTGAAAGGAGGCTCCCTTTCCTTCTTTTATAAAGGAAATTGAATCATTTCTTTAACGCAACTTGCACTTATATAGTGCAAGTTGTTAAAACCATATTCCTATAACGAATACACATGGGTTCCAACTCTCATCCACACTTGTATCCAAACACCCTTCTTATGGTATTTTATTTTAATTAATTATTATTATAATTAAAATCAATTAATATATTTATAAAATATATTAACATTTAATTAATAATAATAATTCATTTATATATATGCATACATATATTTAAATATAATCTTACTAATTTAATTTTAATATTAAATTAAACGTAGGCAACAACCTCAGCAAATTTAATTGCACTGTGAGATTGCCAAAATACTCTTTCATCCTAAAAGACAAAAATACCCCTTGAACAAAACGATCCTTAAATTATCTTCTAAAAGTGTCACCCGTAGGCTCCTCATCATACTGGCAGTGAGTAGTATCGCGATTAACAGCAATTAATCGTTTCATTGCACACATACCAAGATTGGCTTCTAGCAAGACATTATGGCCACCCGATAGATTCGGATTCAACGAAATAACTACCTATTAACGATATGGTTACCATGCAATCAAATCCTTTCATCATCTGTTATCTCAACAAGACTACGGTACATAAATAGTGTCAACCTCAGTTATCCTCGATACCTTTGTATTCAATTACTGGACCAATGACCGAAATAATAAATTGGATTCAACAACAACTCAATCCCACTGTGGCCATAGGTTTAGTGTCATTACCATTTACTGAATTGCGTAGTAAGGCAACTTCTCCCATACTCGGGAGTGATGAATCCTCTGTCGATCCACCATAGTCTTGATACACTTATCGATGCAGCCAATCACTACCATATTGACAGCTCTGAATAGAACTGCGTTGGGCTAGTTTCAAACTTCATCAATCAATGCACAAGGCACTCTAGTGATCTCAAGTCTAAGGATCACATGCACCACCATTTGTTAGAGGATTTGTTCCATAGACATTGGGGTTACCATCTATATGGAATCCTCTAGTGGCTCAGTCCATGAACTTGCCTATAGCAAGCACCTATGTGTTGCACCAGGTTGTCAGCAAACAACCTTGACAAGTGAGAACAATCACTACCTTTCGACAGAGTCGTTCAACACTATGATAGTCTTACCGTATTAGTTGTGTCATTGGTCAGAATAATACTAGGGCTACGAACATTTCTAAAATGGCCATCATATGTGATCATAGGGTTCTCACTATCAAGATTTGAAAGACTTGATACCCTCGTCACAGTTCTATCATCCTAAGGACATATATCAATACATATAGATATAATTTACATGATATATAATAAAATGCATTTTATTGATTAATAAACATTATTACAAAGAGTCAATTTTACTATAATTGAGTGGCTCTAGGGCACCTACTCTAACAAGAACTATGTTAGGCTAGTGTCAAATTACACCAATCGGTGCACAAGGTGCTTTGATGATCTTCAGTCTAAAGATCATATGCACCACCATCCATTAGAGGATTTATTCCATAGACACTGTGGTTACCATCTATGTGGAATTCTCTAGTGGGTCAGTCCAATGAACTTGTCTACAGCAAGCACCCATGTGTTACACCAGGTTGTCGGCAAACAACCTTGACAAGTGAGATCAGTCATTGCCTTTCAACAATGTCGTTCAACACTATGATAGCCTTATTGTATTATATGTATCCTTGGTCAGAATAATACTAGGGCTACGGACATAAACACTTGATACCCTCGTTACGGTTCTACCATCTTAAAGACATATATCAATACTCTAACAATAGATATATAAATAGGCCCAAGGAAAGTCTAGTGGGGGCAAAGATATTGAACTGGAGGCCCATGAGCCCATTTGTTAGAAGATTTACTTCAATGTATATATAATCATTCCATTCAGAAGAGAAATTTACTTAGAAATATAAATATCTTGCCTATGGATTATTTAATTTACATTATTTTAAAATTTAAACCATAACATCTTACTCCACGCTTATCAATTAATTTTTTATGTAGTGATCTTTGTCATAACGTACATAGAATAAGCAAACGCTGGTGAGAGGGTTGAACTAATAAAAGCATTTGGCCAATCTACGAAGAGGAGAGTTTCACCAATTCAAGTCTCCATATCACAACACAATTTCCTTCTCAAAAAGTATGAGTAGCAAGAAATCTTAGATTACAATACATCGTGTAATTATACGATTAAGAATAATGATTAAATTTAGCTAATGATATATAACTAAATGGTAACAATTAATTTCCAGAATATATCAGTTACTCTATAGAAAGTTGTGTAATTATTAAATATATGAACCAAGGGATCATTTCTTAGAATCCTTACTTTTCAAAGATCAATATTTGTTTATTCCATTTTAAGTTATAGATGTAATCATGAGTTTGATATATATTTTTTCTCTTAGGTGAATATTGCTAAGCATTCATAAATTAAAATGTGAATGCTTAGCATTATTAGTTTCTTAAGAGAAAAGAATAAATGATGTCTTGAAGCGTCCTGGCCATTCCTATCATTTCTATTATTTTATTATATATATTGTTTTTCACCACACATATCTTTTATTTGCACATCTTATAAGCCTCTCATTGGTCTTCGCACAAATGAATGTATGCTCAAATTCACGTGAACCTCTTAAATAATTAGAAAGATATTCAAGGACGTGAAAGTAACCTCAAAACATACCATTAATTGCAGCAATTAATTAACGTTAACTCAATTTCCTATGATATATATCACACCGGTAATCATGTGATCAAATAAACGAATGGTGAGTTTGTTAACATTTATAAGTTTGATTGTAGCTAACCAAATGTATAATCAAGAATTAATGAAATTTCTAGAGCAATATTGGATAGGTTGATAAAATAGCTACTATATCAACTACTTTCTTTAATTTGCATATGTGTCCTAACTATTCATGTACAGCTTCTGATTACGTGAAAATAGAAATATAATAAATTAATACTTAGTTATACCCACCCACCTATACCGTCTTCTGATGACACCGCTTCTTATTTCACTTTGCAAATCAAGCAATTCAATATATACAACGAAGCAATGAAGGTGAGAGGTTGAGCTAACAAGACACAAATTTCTCACTAACCCTACCTTTTGTTATTTATTTACTCAATCATTAGCTTAAAATGTCCCCCTAGCCCCCCATCTCCACTTCCCACAGCTATAAAAAGCTGGTCCTACACATCGAAATCAATCCAAAAATACACTTGCATCTATATATCCTTTTTATAAATCATTTTGCACAAAACTAACTCCTCTTGTAGCCTTTCATCAATATAGCTTCCAACAATGGCCTATCTCCGTGTCCCATCGATTATATTATCACTTCTGCTAATCAGTTTGTCTTCATTAAGCTTCAATGGTGATTTGGTTGGAGCTCGCCATCTTCTGGAGATACCTAAGCCTGAATTGCCCGAGATTCCAAAGCCCGAGCTGCCAACATTTCCTCATTTGCCTGACATTCCAAAGCCCGAGCTGCCAACATTTCCTCATTTGCCTGAGTTTCCAAAGCCCGAGCTGCCATCATTTCCTCATTTGCCCGACCTTCCTAAGCCCACATTGCCCAAGGACTTCCCTGTGATCCCTACTCACTCAACCACTAATCCTTAAATTACTTCCATCTCTTTATTTCAGTTTTTACAAGCATTATATATTGAAGTTTCACGAGTGCTAACTATTCAAAAGTGTTGTAATAAACTTGTGTGGTCTTTATTTCCCAGATAAATTATATGTGTACTTTTTTTTATTATTCAAGAGTTGTTGCCCGAGTTTATTTTGTTTTCTATGGTGATAGTATATAGTGATATGTGATGTTGAATTGTTGATCAAGTGTTTGTAGTATATAGCCTGATTTGGTAGGTAATTATCATACCTAAAATTAGGGGTTTCATATATTATGTTGTTGAATGGTGTGAAGATATTTCTAGAATCGAAAGAAAAATAGAGAAAAGAGTGAAATTGAAGAAGAGAGAAGAACTCGGAAATTTCATTGACTAATTTGAATAACGCGCGCGGCTCCTTTATAAAGCCGTTGAACAAACCGCTGCGTTTCTTAGAAACTTTGATTCTGACATTTTAACCCATACTCAGTTTTACAGATTACAATTTAGTCTACCTTAGTTTCCAATTTTGCATTTTGAGCCCAGATTGCTTCTTTATCTTAACAAATGGAAAATATGTAAATTTATTATAAAAGGTGAACCTCCACCATTTAGCGAGTGGTGGAGGAAACCTTATGGCGGTTATTGGGGGTGGGGGTACCTCCCACATCATCACCTACAACAACCCCAACCCCCCACCCCCAAAAAAAAGAAAAAAAAATCCCTTTAAGTTTGCTCATCCAAGATTTTATGAAAGAATCCTGTTTCACTCACATCTCTCAATTCTCTCAATTGCATCCCTTTTAGTTTATCTGTTGACTTTATTTTTCCTGAATCATTACTAAATAACACCACTAAATTATAACACGTTATCAGCATGAACAACTTATCAAGTGTAACAGTGCATGCCTACTGAAAGTACGTATTTTCAACCCTACCAATGTTATTTAATCCCTGTTTCCACCTTTATGGTTGAATTTATTTATTATAATTAAATTCCATATATTTAAAATCCCACATGTGTTCTTTAATCTTTGTTTCCGCCTTTATGGTCAGATTTATTCATTATTATTAAACTCCGCCTCCATGGTCAGATTTACTTATTACTGTCAAATTCCGCCTCCCTGGTTGGATTTACTTATTATTGTCAAATTCCACCTCCATGGTCGGATTTATTTATTACTGTTAAATTTCGCCTTCATGGTCAGATTTACTTATTACTGTTAAATTCTGCCTCCATGGTCGAATTTATTTATTATTGTTAAATTCCGTCTCTATGGTCGGATCTATTTATTACTGTTAAATTCCGCCTTTATGGTTAGATTTATTTATTATTGCTAGATATCGCCTTCATGGACAGATCTATTTATAATTGTCATTTTATTTATCGATTCTTTACAATTATCACATTTTATATTCCATTTGTTAGTTTTGGATGCCTGAATGCATCCCATGACATGCATCTAGAAGGTGCGGAACTAATTACTTTACTCTTATTAATGAATAGTTCTCAGAAATGTCAAATTTTGTGAAGATCCAGTATGAGGCCCTTAGACTAGATGGAAAAAACTATGATGAATGGGCCCTACACTCTACTCTCCATCTGGAATCTATGAAACTACGTGAAGTCATTAAGGAAGGAAACATGACATCCTTACAGGACAAATCAAAGGCTACTATTTTCCTTCGGCATCAGATCCAAGAAGGGCTACGGGCTAAGTATAAGGATATAAAAGATCTACTCCAATTGTGGATTAATTTGAAGGAGAGATTTCAACATAACAAATCAGTAATACTCCTAATGGCTCAATATGATTGGACTCATTTACGTCTACAGGACTATAAATCTGTCAGTGAATATAATTCTACTTTATTTAGGATTGTCTCTAAATTAAGAACACTTGGAGAGAAAACAACTGAAGAAAATATGTTGGAAAAAACATTCTCCACTTTCCACCCCTCCAATATGCTCCTCCAGTAGCAATATAGGGAGCGTAACTTTAAGAAATATTCTGAATCAATTTCTTGTTTACTTGTGGCTGAACAAAATAGTGAACTGCCACTAAGAAACCACTAAACTCACCCCACTGGTTCCCAACTGTTTCCCAAAGTGAACGCAACAACTAGCAATAATAACCGTGATCGTGGGCGTGGGCGGGGTCTAGGTCGAGGTCATGGGCGAAATAACTATCGACCCAAGGGTGGTCATAACAAGAAATTTCAGTCGCACCACTCGAAGTGGAGCAAGACTAAATCAAAAAATGAAAGAAGCCACTCACAAANTTTAAGAAATATTCTGAATCAATTTCTTGTTTACTTGTGGCTGAACAAAATAATGAACTGCCACTAAGAAACCACTAAACTCACCCCATTGTTTCCCAACCGTTCCCCAAAGTGAACGCAACAACTAGCAGTAATAATCGTGATCGTGGGCATAGGCGGGGTCCAGGTCGAGGTCATAGGCGAAATAACTATCGACCCAAGGGTGGTCATAACAAGAAATTTCAGTCGCACCACTCGAAGTGGAGCAAGACTAAATCAAAAAATGAAAGAAGCCACTCACAAACACCATCCTTCAGGATAGAAAATGTTTTTCAGATTTGACATTTACTGAAGCTAAAGTAAATACCATATCAGGGTCTGTAAACATAATTGAGGGCTCTGGAAGAGCAACACTCTTGTTACCAAGCGGAACTAAATTAAGTATCCATGATGCTTTATATTCTAGCAAATCCAGAAGAAATTTGCTTAGTTTCAAAGATATACGACTCAATGGATACCACATTGAAACTTTAAGTGAAAAGGATAGATAGTTTCTATGCATCATTGCTAATGTTTCATGCCAGAAGCATGTACTGGAGAAACTCCCTGCTTTCTCATCTGGGTTATATTACACATTCCTGAAGAATGTTGAAGTCTATGCAATTATGAACCAGAAGTTCATTGATCCTGAACTTTTAAGATTTGGCATGACCGTCTTGGTCACCTAGGATCCACTATGATGCGTAGAATCATAGAAAACCCACATGGTCACACATTAAAGAACCTGATGATTTTATCACTTAATGAGAGTGCTTGTATTGCTTGCTCACAAGGCAAATTGGTACTTAAGCCATCCATCACTAAATTTGGTCTAGAACCCCCATCATTTTTACAAAGAATTCATGCGGACATATGTAGACCTATTCATCCACCAAGTGGACCATTCTGCTACTTTATGGTACTGATTGACGCATCAACACGATGGTCACATGTTTGTCTGCTATAAACTCGTAATGTTGCCTTTGTTAGATTGCTAGCACAAATTATTAGATTACGGGCACACTTTCCCGTTACCCAATTAAAGCAATACGTCTGGACAATGCTGGTGAGTTTACCTTAAAGACATTTGATGACTATTGTACAACAATGGGAATTGATGTTAAGCACCCAATACCACATGTACATACCCAAAATGGTATGGCAGAGTCATTTATAAAGCGTATCCAATTAATTGCAAGAACTTTACTACTTCGCATGCAATTACCGACTTATGTTTGGGCTCATGCTGTTTTACATGCTGCGACGTTAATTCGCCTAAGACCCACTGCATATCATCAATACTCTCTGATACAACTTGTATTTGGACACCAGCCTAATATATCTCATTTTAGAACTTTTGGTTGAGCTATACAAGTTCCAATTGTGCCCTCTCAATGCACCAAAATGGGACCCCAACGTCATTTGGGAATACATGTTGGCTATGACTCACCATCTATCATCAGATATCTTAAGCCCTTGATGGGTGATGTGTTTATAGCAAGTTTTGCAGATTGCCATTTTGACGAAACAATATTTCCTCCTTTAGGGGGAAAGACAAAGCCTCTTGAAGTAAGGCCTGAAATTTCTTGGAAAGTAAATTCTATGTCTCATTTAGATCCTTGCACATCTCAATCTAAAATTGAAGTGCAAAGAATAACACATTTGCAAAATATTGCCAACCAAATGCTTGATGTATTTACAGATGCAGCAAAACTAACAAGATCATACATTCTTGCTATCAATGCACCAACAAGGATTGATGTTACCAATGAACAATCCATACGGGCAACGATCGATTCATTTGTTACACGCCAGAAACGTGGTAGGCCTATTGAAGCCAAGGATTCTGTTCCTGAAGAAACAAAAGGCACAAAATCAAATAGGTGCCAATGTTGACAATACTAGAACAGTTGATGATTCCACACCTTCTAAACCAACTCTAGAAGAGTTAACAGTCCCTGAACGGACACAAACCCCTGAAGAGGAACAAGTCCCTAAAGGAATACAAGAATATAGAAATGAAGAAATGAAGAAATTTCTATAATCTATGCCTACAGTAAAGAAATGTGGAATTGTGAAACAGCAATTGTCGATAACATATTTTCATATGCAATAGCTACTGAAATTATGAATGATGAGTTTGAGCCACGTTTTGTTGATGAATGTCGACAAAGACATGATTGGCCAAAATGGGAAAAAACAATTCAAGCAGAATTAACCTCCCTATCAAAACGTAACATATTTGGACCTGTAGTCAAAACACCTGAAAACATGAAACCTGTAGGGTATAAATGGGTATTCACAAGGAAACAAAATAAGAAAAATGAGATTGCTAGGTATAAGGCTAGACTAGTGGCTCAAGGTTTCCTGTAGAGACCCAGAATTGACTTTGATGAGGCGCATTCACCAGTGATGGATGAGATCACATTTCAATACTTGATTAGTTTATCAGTCTCAAAAGGACTTGATATGTATCTCATGGACGTTGTCACTACATATTTGTATGGTACACTAGATACTGATATCTATATGAAAATCCCTGAAGGATTCAAAGTGCCAGAAGCAAATAAAATGAATATGTATTCAATTAAATTGCAAAGATCATTATATGGATTGAAACAATCAAGACGAATGTGGTATAATCGTCTTAGTGAATGTCTGATTAAGGAAGGATACATCAATGATCCTGTATGCCTATGTGTTATAAAA